TGAACTTGATCTAAAAGTAGATGACAAAATTAAGCATACATGAATAACTGGAAAACGATCAATAATTATGTGAAAGATTGTCACAATTTCCCTATAACGAACACAATTCATAAGGTATGTTCTATATCAAATTTTTTAAAAGTCCATTATACATAAGAGATTTTATTAAGAAGTCCCACTATAACAAACAAATTTTATTATAAAGGGAAAAATAAAAAAAGTCCACTATAAGCAAAATCCCAACAATATATATATATATATATATATTTAATAAAATGCAATTAATTTAAAATAGTTTCATATATTTTTTGATGTCTTTCAAAATTTCTATATATATTTTTACTTGTAAAAAACATTTTATTTATATGCGGTGAAACTTCAGTATGTACTATTTGATCTGTAAGGTTGATATAATAATCATAAATATAGATATATATACTTCAAAAAAAAATTTTTTTTAAGTATATATTAGTATTGCGGTGATTAGCAATAATCTAAACAGGAATTGATTTACATTTACTAGATACGTGTATATATATATATTATGCTTTCTGTTGTCCAATATATTAACAATGGCTGGAACAGAAGTTGCAATTAATAATCCAGATAATAATAATATAGTAACTATAATTGAACTTAGTACAAAATTTAAATTTGCAATAGTCACAAATTTCAATATGGGTTTTAATATATTTAAATTTCTTCATAGAAATCCAAGGACTCACGAACATTTACAAATATTCGCATATATGCATACATATTAGCTTTCCTCTGCTATGTTTCATACTCAATTTATTTAATAATCCAACTTGCAACAGAATATCCAGTGGTTATTACAAAATACAATTTTGTCAATACCATAGATGTTCCGAGTTAAGTTTATCATCAACAAGTAAAACTAAATTTACAATAAACTCACATCTTTTGTTATTTATAGATATGGAAATTTGTTCTCCAGGTTCCTTTGAAATATTACGCTGCGACACCAAATTAAATAATCTAACCAACATCCAAAATGGATGCCAAGAATATATTTCTGGCCCTATTATTAATATTACCGAGGGTGCTGATGATAAGTACTGCTGTTATACCTTTAAAGCTAACAAAGCTATAGAGTATACACATGGAAAGCCAGATGGCTTGAACAAGTTGAAATTTTATTACAACATTAATGCAACGGATGCTGAAAAAGAAAAACTTGGTGTAGCTTTAATTCAAATAAGAGTTTTTTCGCCTGGTCAGTAAAATTGTTCGATAACTATATAGATAGGATAATTATATTTGAACCGACATACCTTTTAGTAAGATTATTTTCGTATAGATAGATAGATGGTCATTTTTTTACATGGTTTCTGACTATTTCAATTATCCAAAGAATAGATTGTCAAAATTGCTAATGTTTTGATATATTTTAAATAGACTTGTTGGATGTCAGTGAGATGGACAAAGCTGTTCGATCACGTATCAACCTTCAATGGGATTTTATGTCAGGAATAATAGGCTATATTTCATTAGTAGGATTTTTACACATAATTATTGATTGTTTTCCAGTTATTCATATTATTTATATTATTTATTCTCTAACACTTCTTTTAGATCAAGTTCAAGACAAGTATATATAAAAGTATACCACCTCGGGATGCTTCTGCCATCATTGGATTTGAGCCCAACTATGCAACTACTCCGAGAATTGATTGCACAATCAGTCAATTTCCCTTTAACCAGAATCCATTATCTGTACCAAATGGAACCAATGGTTATTTTTCAGTTGCTGCTGGGGATTTTGTACAGGAAGAAATTTCTGAAAGGCGGTAAGTTAACAGTAGAGTTTAAACAGAGTATTATTGTAAACATCACTATGAATACAATTTATTTATCTTATGAACCATAATATAGCACAAGTACTATTCTAAGTAGCATTGCATCAGCTGGTGGTGCCTTTGGTTAGTATATTTAAATTGCATACCTTAACAAGTTAGAAGTTGTGTAAATCTTTTTTTTTTTTGGTGACTAATAGGTCTTATCGGAAGCATCCTTGTGTGGTTGTATGGATCCAGCAGTTTTGATGAGTGGGGATTTGCAAGAAGAATGTTAGATAATCCATGGTATTGGGTAGATAAATTGAAAGGGGGTTATGAAAGTTTGAACATTTTTCAAACTTCTTCAAAAACATTGACAGCTAACGATCATGAGCATGGTAGTTATTTTGTTATTAAAACGATTAATAAGCTTGTTACTAATTAATTTCCACTGATTATTACTAACAATAATTTTGATTAATAAATAAACATTAGGTTCTGGTAGTAATGATGATGAAAAGATTTAATCTCAAAAGTTAAATCATAATTATGTTTTGAAAAATAATAAACTTTTTAAATCTTGTTCTAGAAAGAATGATATTTTGACAAACATTTTTCTTTTTTTTTCTATTATTACTGCTAACTAACTTAATCAATCAATATTCATATTAATATTATAAAACTTCCATAATTATTACACAGTAATTTGATAATAATTATAAAAAGCTTTTCCACAAAAAGTTTCATTTGAATTATGTATAGGTCTACACTAAAATTAGTTGACCCTGGAACATAAAATATGTTAGTTATTCATTCCTAATCTATCCCGATCATGTATCACGCTATTAATATTAATATGAGAAATCTTTGAATTTAGTAGTAAATGAGTGTGTGGGAACTGAATTTGTATTCAGTAAAGAATAACCTAGCTTCTTGGGAGCAACTTATGAAACAAAGGAAAGAGATTGGGACACGCGCACAAGGAAATATAAAAATAAAGAACATACAGTACCTGGACAAAAGTATCGGAACACTTGCTTTTGTTGATTGCGCAAAAATATACATAATAAATATGTATGAAATTTATATCTTTTGCGGTTTAGGTTCTTGTGAATATCTATGCAAAATCCCATGCATCCAAGTTTCGCAGAACTCGAATAAATATATAAAAATGAAATTTGATTAAATTTTGACATGTTTATAGAAATTGTCCAAGAACCTACATAGTAATATGTTTTGGAAATTTTGTATATGAAAACCCAAGTTTGATGATTCCGAAAAATTATTTTTTATTACATATTTTTTAAGAACTTTTTTTAAAAAAAGGTTTCAAAATTTTAAATTTCAAAAAAAAAAAAGTCTAATTTAACTGAAGCTCAACACGGACAAATATAAAAGTGGAGCCTCATATAGAATTATTTTTAAAATACTTGGCTTCCACCACAACAATATATCGTATTAGAAGTCGTCCAACAATCTAAGAAATCTTAAACTTGAGGCTACTTTAAAAGAGGAATGGAATAAAATTCCTCAAAAATTTTTAATGAATTTGATTGAAAGCATGCCTAATAGAATTCAGGCTTGTATAAAGAGCAAAGGATACCCAACTAAATATTAAAAATAGTTAAAATTTTAAATTAAAAATCGTTACATAGAATTTGAGAATAAAATAAAAAATTTCGCGTCAGAGATTTAGTGAAAACTTTTTAATCAAATTTCATTTTTATATATTTATTCAATTTCTACAGAACTTAGATGCGTGGGCTTTTGCATAGATATTCACAAGAACTAAACCGCAAATGATATAAATTTCATATATGTTTATTATGTATATTTTTGCGCAGTCAACAAAAGCAAGTGTTCCGATAATTTTGTCCAGGCAGAGTTGGCAAATTGACTGGTCCATTGGGAGCTGATGGACTTTGGACCGGTCCATTGCATTAATAAATTACTAAATATGGCTAAAACGTTATACATTTGCCAACCCTGTGTCCAGGGACTGTATGTATTGTTATTATTATTTTTTTTTTTGTAAATTTAATTTCATTAGATTCATTTACATTATGAAGGCAGATTAGAGTATATAAATCTTTTTTTTATCTTCCTATGAAGATTTATGTAGAGATTCATTTTCAAGGTTCAGTATTAAAAAATGTACCATCCATATTAATTGAAATGTAGAAAACGAAAAACGCCATGTAATGATATCTATCCGGGAATGAAGATGAAGCAGTTAGAAAATATATAAGGCACAGTTCACACTCTCTATAATGAATCGTTCTGTAATAAAAATGGACCGAGAGTTTAAGCTAACTCATTATTATTGTCTATAACAGTAATCCAAATGGTCCATTACAGAGAGGGTGAACCGTAAATAGGAAAAATGTTATTATAATAAATATTTTCTAGATGTTAAACTAACAAATTTTGAAATTTTTGGAATGAAACAATTTGAACTGGGTTGGGATTTTGTGATAAGCAAAATATTGGAAAGTGTATAGAAGCAAATACATGTCTGAGCAAGTAAAACAACTTCTAAAAGTCTATTTTTGTCAGAAAATGTAGACGAGAAGAATAGATTCACTTCTGAAACAATACTTTCCGATCTAAAACAAATGGTGGAAGCAGAAGAGTTGGATGCAAATGAGTCTGTCAAGATAAAAATTGGATAACACATTTTAGTAGAGAATCAGCTGAGAAAAAATCGGACATTATGCCATAAAAAAAATACGAGCCATTATTTTGTAAATTCCAGTATTATGCGTAATAATTATATTTAAAAAAGTTTGATTTTTATACCCACAATTTCCATTGAAGATTGAAATAGTGCAAAAACGGCTTGGACGAAAATTTTTTTGATAGATATAGTGCGCACCCATCAAATGCTGCGTCGAGTGCCAAATTTTCAAAATCCAAAAATAGCGATGATGTCACAATATTATAAAATCATACGACTCAATCATTTATCGTATAAGGTTTATTCGAATTGTTATGAATTAGAGTATTTGAATTACAATGCAGCAATGTGAGTTTATTTGGATAAACAAATAAAAGAATAAAACGAATAATTCGAATTTGAATAAAAGAATGAAACGAATAATTCGAATTTGAATAAAAGAATAAAACGAATAATTCGAATTTAAATAAAAGAATAAAACGAATAATCCGAATAAACAAATACAAATAAAAACAAATAAAAAAAAAATAGAACAAATAAGAATTTGTACAGTGCATAACATCATAAGCCATCAAATTACTGCGCCAATGTATCAAATTCAAGAAAAATTTTCAATTTTTTTTTAATTACTTTCATTACAAAAATACAGTTAAAAAAATAAATCACGTGATAAAGGATTTTTACTCATTATTTCTATCAATTTCTTCCATAATATTATCAGGTATTCTTCTATGTGATTTATATCTTTTCAAAGCATATTCTGCTTGTAAAACTGTTAAGCCTTTCCTATAACATTCCATATACTTCACTGATCTTAATGCATATTTTCTTATTTGTTTCAATGATATAGAATCAAAGGCCCTTGGTATATTTTCTTGTAAACCTTTCCAGGTATAATTGCAATGTTGTCTTACATACCTTTTGGCAGCACCCCAATACATTTCTATATAATTCAATTCACAGTGGAATTTTGGATAAAACACCACTTTGTGACCTTTTGCTTCGATTATTTCCTGAAGCAGGGGTTTTTGATTTTTGAAGTCAACCTGGGAAGCTAAAATATGTCTGGCACAACATGTTAAGTTCTCTTCAAGAGAAACATTACTATTCTTACAATATGCTTTTAGATTTGACCTCCATAATCCTCTTTCCTGCAGAATT